GAGTTTAAAACATGTCCACACAAAAACCTACACAAGGGTGATTATAGCTGCTTTATTCATAATTGCCAAACCTTGGAAGCAACCAAAATGTCCTTCAGTCAGTGAATGGATAAACTGTGGTACATTCAGACAATGAAATATTAGCATTAAAAAGAAATTAGCTGTTAACCATGAAAAGACATGGAGGAACCTTAAATGCATTGTTTCAAAGTGAAAGTGAAACAGGACACAATCGGTCCAAGGCCACTTGTCACTACTTGAGCCAAATTAAGCAGAGACAGGGTTAACTCATATATGAGCATTTATTCCAGTAATGCCAGTGGTATGGGGAGAGCGGTAAGTCATCCTCAAAATTCTGCCCTAACACTTCCTATTAGTCTGCTAATTATACAAGGTTAAGTAAGAAGGATCTGTGTGCAAGGCAGAAGCGTGGCAGGATAAGGGCTGTAGGGTCCATGGTCCGTGTATCTCCTTCAGGATCTTAAAGTCTAATAACAAGAGTTAATTTTCTATGATGTTAAAACAGCTCTGCCTATTCCTGGAACCAGAGAATGGTCAACATTCCTGAAGCAAAGTACTGGAGGGGGTCAGAGCCCAGGCACAGCAACAAGATCAAAGTGTGTTCTGTCCTTTATTTGGTCTCAAAATGTATTTTCTTTTCTGAGTAATGGACCATCCTGACCCTAAGGCATCATATCTTTTCACAGTCCTGTTTTCCTTCTTGCAGCACATCCTCCAGTTTCCCAGGGTCGGTAAGAAATCTCTTATCCATAGTTAGTAAGGTGAATCATCATTAAACAACTGTGGTCCTATTCTTATTATATGTCCTTTCCCCCTATCAAAAGGAGCCAATCTGAAAAGTATACCTAGTGTATGATTTCCAAAACTATGGAGCCAGTAACAAGATCAGTGGTTGCCAAGGGGTTGGGGGGAGGGAGGGATGAATGGATGGAGCACAGAGGATTTTTAGGGCAGTGAAAACTATTTTGTATGGTGCCATAATGGTGGATACATGTTATTATCCATTTTCTAAACACACAGAATGTACAACACCAAGAGGAACCCTAAGGTAAACTATGGACTTTGGACAACTATGTGTCAATGTAGTTTCATTGACTGAAGCAATGGCATGTTGATAGTGGGGGAAGCTGTACGTGTGTGGCAGCAGGGGACATATGGAAACTATGTATTTTCCACTCAGTTTTGTTGTGAGCATACAATAGTCTTTTTAAAAAAATACCTAAGGACTGTCCTGGCAAGTTTGACTCAGCAGTTAGAGTGTTAGCCCAAAGACTGAAGGGTCACGGGTTCGATTCCTGATCAAGGGCACATCCTACCTGAGTTGCAGTTTCAATCCTGCCACCCCCCCCATTCTCACCGGGTCTGTAGGAGGCGTCCAATCAATGTGGGGGAGGCAGCTTGAAAGGCACAGAGACATATGGGGAAGAACTGAGTTGTTTCCTATTGGGGTGAGAGCTGGAGGGGCTGCTTTCTCCTCAACACACTTACTGTCGGAGGCCATTGTTCCTTTGGCAAGCCCTTCCTCCGGGTGGCAGATGCTGCCACATCGGGTGTGGGACTTCAGAAACCTGGCACTGTTTGCCCTGCCCTGGTGATTCTCTGAGGCTCCACCCCACCCAATGTTCAGGCCCACCCAAGCTGTTTCCAATGGCTTTACCATAGGATTGGCCTGTCTTGGATCCTGCTTCAGAGTTTCCTAAAATCTCTCAAACAAGCAGCATCAGGTCTCAGCAAGCCCCATACCGCTCGATAGGTGGCCCCAGGCCTGGCACTAGAAGCAGCCAGCCTTCGTTCACAACTTGGCTGTTCCTGGGCACCTCCAAGCCCAGCACAAGAAGCAGCCATCTGCAGATCACTTTGTAGCTTATGCTGGTGGCCCTGGATAGAACATGGGCAGTGGCTGACCTTGTCCCAGAGCCAGCACACCCAGTGAACAGCTTCAGACCACATCAAAGCACCACCACCCAACCACATCAACAAGTTACACACTCAATGAGTGGACTCACAGGGTACCAGCAGTCTTGCTCTGTGTGGTGGGCCTCGACACAGCTGATCATCCAAGGTGGTCAAGGGACCAGTGGTCAGTGGGCACAGCCAGTCCTTGCAGCTGATCAGCCTCAATAGATCCCTCCCATTGACTGCCAACAGCAATCAAGACTCAATTACAACAGAAGGGTGTACAATCCACACTAGGCGTATACCTTGAGGACCCAGCTGGTGTGATCAGGGAGGCTGTGCCACTGAATCCTACAGGTCACCTACAACAATAGGCCACCCTACAAAGCCTAGGAGACGTAGCAACTCTACCTAATACATAGAGAAAAACACAGAGAAACAGCCGAAATGAGGAGACAAAGAAACACCTCCCACATGAAAGAAAATAACAAAACTCCAGGATAAGAACTAAACAAAATGGAGATAAGCAATCAATCAGATGCAGAGTTCAAAACACTGGTTATAAGGATGCTCAAGGAGCCCTGGCCAGTTTGGCTCAGCGGTTAGAGTCAGCCTGCAGACCAATGAGTTGTGGGATTGATTCCGGTCAAGGGTACGTACCTCGGTTGCAGTTCGTCCCCAGCCCTGGTCGGGTCATGTGGGAGGCAACCAGTCGATGTGTCTCTCTCATATCAATGTTTCTCTCTCTTCCTCTCTCTCTCTCTCCCTCCCTCCCTCCCACTCTATCTGATGATAAATGTAAAAATATCCTCAGGTGAGGATTTAAAAAAAAAGGATGCTCATCCTGCGTCGGCTTGCGGTCCTGAGAGACCCGGGTTCGGTTCCCGCTAAGGGCATGTACCTCGGTTGCAGTTTGTCCCCGGCCCTGGTCGGTTGTGCAGGTGGCAGCCACTCGATGTGTTCCTTTCACGTCGATGTTTCTCTCTCTCTCTCTGTTCTTCTCTCTCCCTCCCACTCTATCTGAACAAAAAATGGAAAAATGTCCTCGGGTGAGGATAAAAAAAAAAAAAAAGAAAAAAGGATGCTCATCCTGGCCAGTTTGGGTCAGCAGTTAGAGTGTCAGCCCGTGGACTGGAGAGTCCCGGGTTCTCTTTCCACTAAGGGCATGTACCTCGGTTGCAGTTTGTTCCCGGCCCGGGTTGTGGTTGTGTGGGTGACAACCACTCGATGTGTCTCTCACATTGATGTTTCTCTCTCTCTCCCTTCCTCTTTCCCTCCCACTCTATCTGAAGATAAATGCAAAAATGTCCTCAGGTGAAGAAAAAAAAAAGAATCCAAAGAGGTCCACACCAAGACACATTATCATCAAAATGCCAAAGGTTAAAGACAAAGAGAGAATCTTAAAAGAAGTAAGAGAAAAGCAGTTAGTTACCTACAAAGGAACTCCCATAAGACTGTCAGCTGACTTCTCAAAAGAAACTGCAGGCCAGAAAGGAGTGGCAAGAGATATTCAAGGTGATAAAAAGCAACGACCTACAACCAAGATTATTCTGTCCTGCAAAGCTATCATTTAGAATTGATGGACATATTGATAGACAAGAAAAAGCTAAAGGAGTTCATCGCTATCAAACCAGTATTATATGAAATGTTGAAGGGTCTTCTTGAAGGAGAAGAACAAAAACATGAACAATAAAATGATAATAAATACACATCTATCAACTATTGAATCTACAAACAAATGAGCAAACAGAACAGAAACAGACTCACAGATACAGAGAACTTTGTTGCTTGTAAGATGTGAGGGGGCTGGGAGATGGGTGAAAAAAATGAAGGAATTAAGAAGTACAAATTGGTTGTTAGACTGATGAACCTCAAAGGGAAGGGGGAGGGAGGGCAGGAAGAGATAAACCAAAGAACTTCTATGCATATATGCATAGAATAACCGATGGACACAGACAATAGTGTAGGGAAGGCAGGAGGGGGGTGGCTTTGGGGAGAAGGGGGTTAATGGGGGGAAAAAGAAACATCTGTAATACATTCAACAATAAAGATAAGTTTTTTCAAATATCAATGAAGCCCTGGCCGGTTTGGTTCAGCTGTTAGAGCATCGGCCTGCGGTCCTGAGAGACCCGGGTTCGGTTCCCGCTAAGGGCGCGTACCTCGGTTGCAGTTTGTCCCCGGCCCTGGTCGGTTGTGCGGGTGGCAGCCACTCGATGTGTTCCTTTCACATCGATGTTTCTCTCTCTCTCTCTGTTCCTCTCTCTCCCTCCCACTCTACCTGAACAAAAAATGGAAAAATGTCCTCGGGTGAGGATAAAAAAAATAAAAAAATAAAAATCAATGAAAAGTATCCTCCCAGTCAGATAAAGAAAAGTATCACATGGTCTCACTTATTTGTGGAACATAGTGAACAAAATAAACTGATGAACAAAATAGACCCAGAGACATAGAAGTAGGATTCAGACTGACAAACCTTAGAGGAGAAGGGCAAGGGGAAGGAAAGAGATAAACCAAAAAACTTACATGCATATAAGTATAACCAATGGATATAGACAACAGTGCTGGGGGCGGGGATGTGGAGGAGGGTGACAAAGGGGGAAAAGGAGAAACATCTATAACAAAAGTTAATTTAAATGAAAAAATAAATAAAAGTATCCTCAGGCGAGGATTAACAAAAATAAAATAAAATAAACAAACAAGCAGAATAAAAAGAGAACATTTTGACGGTTGCCAGATAGGAGGGGTTGGGGCACTGGGTGAAAAGGTAAAGGGATTACGAAGTACAAATTGGTAGTTACAGAATAGTCATGGGATGTAAAGTACAGCATAGGGTATAGTCAATAATATTGTAATAACTATGTATGGTATCAGAAGGGTACTCATTTTATCAGGATGGTCACTTTATAAATTATGTAAATGTCTAATCACTGGTTTCTACACCTGAAAATAATATAATGTTGTACACCAACTGTGATCAAAAATAAAAATTTATTTAAAAAAGAACATATTATAGAGCTCCGTCTGCTTCTTTGTATCCACTTCCATTGGCTCTTAAAGTCATTGGTAAGACTTCAACCACCAAAATGGAGAAGCCGATTGACAGAAAGTATGCTTTCCAGGAAGCCTTGAACAGTGCAGGAGATAAATCTGTGGTAGTTGACTTCTCAGCCACGTGGTGTGGGCCTTGCGAAATGATCAAGCCTTTCTTTCATTTCCTCTCTGTAAAGTATTCCAATGTGGTGTTCCTTGAAGTAGATGTGGACGACTGTCAGAATGTTGCTGCAGAGTGTGAAGTCAAGTGCATGCCAACCTTCCAGTTTTTTATTAAAGACATTTTTTTTTCTTTATTGATTTTTAGAGAAAAAGGAAGGGAGATGGAGATAGAAACAGAGATGAGAGAGAACATCAGTTGGCCGCCTCCTGCATGCCCCCCACTAGGGATCGGGCCCACAACCTGGGCATGTGCCTTGACTGGGAATCGAACCGGTGATCTCTTGGTGCATGGGTTGACGCTCAACCACTGAGCCACAGCAGCCAGGCAACCTTCCAGTTTTTTAAAAGAGGACAAAAGGTGGGTGAATTTTCTGAAGCTAATAAGGAAGAACTTGAAGCCACTATCAATGAATTGGTTTAATTATGTTTTCTGAAAACATAACCAGCCATCGGCTCTTGTAATTCTTTTTCTTTTTTTATTCCTCAACTGAGGATATTTTTTCCATTTATCCTCAGACGGAGGGAGGGAGGGAGGGAGAGAGAGACAAAGAGAAACATCGATGTGATAGAGCCACATCGACTGGTTGCCTCCCAGGACTCTGTTCCACCAGCAGATGCTCTAATCACTGAGCCAAACCAGCCAGGGCAGGTGGTAGTGTTTTGATGTGGTTTGAAGCTGTCCACTGGGTGTGCTGACTCTGGGACAAGGTCAGCCACTGCCCATGTTCTATCCAGGGCCACCAGCATAAGCTACAAAGTGATCTGCAGATGGCTGCTTCTTGTGCTGGGCTTGGAGGTGCCCAGGAACAGCCAAGTTGTGAACGAAGGCTGGCTGCTTCTAGTGCCAGGCCTGGGGCCACCTATCGAGCGGTATGGGGCTTGCTGAGACCTGATGCTGCTTGTTTGAGAGATTTTAGGAAACTCTGAAGCAGGATCCAAGACAGGCCAATCCTATGGTAAAGCCATTGGAAACAGCTTGGGTGGGCCTGAACATTGGGTGGGGCGGAGCCTCAGAGAATCACCAGTGCGGGGCAAACAGTGTGAGCCAGGTTGCTGGAGTCCCAGATATGGCGTCTGTCTGTTGCCTCAGCAAAAGGGTCACCAAAGGAATATCAGCCTCTGCCAGCACATCTGTCCAGGAGAAAGCCACCTCTCCAGCCCTTTTCCCAAGGCCAAACAGCTCAGTTCTTCCCTGTATGTCTCTGGCGCCCCTCAAGCTGCCTCCCCTCTGAGCTTAGAGGGAGCAAGTCCAAGTAAGTCCATGTGCGGGCCCTTTAAGAGGAGCTGCCTGGGGCTCCAGCCACCTCAGCCTCCCTGAACCTCAGTTCCCGCTGGTTTTACAGCCAGAAGTTATGGGGACTCTCTTCCTGGCACTGCAACCCTGAGCAGGGTGCCTGGTGTGGGACGGGGACCCCTCACTCCTCAGAGAGGACCTTCACAGCCGAGGTATCCTCCTGATTTTTATCTGCCACACGTGGGTGTGGGACCAGTCTGTCCATGCCTTTGCCCCTCCTGCCCATCTTGTTGTGGCTGTTTCTTTAATTTTGTAGTTGTAGGACTTCCATTCTGCTCGATTTCAGGTGGTTCTGAATGATGGTTGTGTTATAGTTTAGTTGTAATTTTGATGTCGTCATGGGAGGATGCGATACTGCGTTTACCTACGCCACCATCTTGACCAGAAGTCTGATTGTATTATTTTTATATATTTTTATTTTAAATACTTCCTAATACATTTAAAATATGAATCAATGAGTCGGGCTGGTGTGGCTTAGTGGTTGAGCGTTGACCCGTGCACCAAGAGGTCGTCATTTTGATTCCTGGTCAGGACACATGCCCAGGTTGTGGGCCTGATCCCTGGTGGGGGGCATGCGGGAGGTGGCCAATCGATGTTCTCTCTCATCGATGTTTCTCTCTCTCTCTCTCTCCCTCTCACATCCTCTCTCTCTAAAATCAATCAATAAATAAAATATGAATGAATGAATGAATGAATGAATGAATGAGAAAAAATGTAACAAGCCATAGAGCCCAATAATAATTCAAAGTTTATATTCAAGTAGCCTTATTCTGAAATTCAAGTTCATCAAGCAACTTTAGCTTCATACAAACTCACTCACTGAGACAATGGGTTGTTAGATCAATCTTTACATCTGGTCTGCTTTGACATTATATTTTATCCCTCAATGTTACTGGCATCAAGGTATACTCTCCTTGTGTGTTTAGTCACAACTAAGACATCTTTCTAGAAATTAATCAGTACTGAGGGACTAAACATATTGAAGACCAAGGTTGAAGACCTGACCCCAAGGCATGGAACATTCACACCACTTGAGACCTCTTGGGAAAAATCCAACTAGCCTTCCCAAGCTGAAACCCCTCTCTCTTTACCTGCCTTCGGACTTACATAGTCTTAAAATGTTATTTAAGTCCTGTGTTGCTATTTTATTTTCCAAGAGTTTGTGTCTCATGTCCCTGACCATATTGTAAGCTCTTGAAGATTTTTATTGACTTAGAAAAAGAGAAATGGAGATCAGAGAGAGAAAAACATGGATGTCAGAGTACATCCATCAGCTGTCTCCTGCACTCCCCCTACTGGGGTTCAAACCTACAACCCAGGCATGTATCCTGACTGGGAATCGAACCAGCAACCTTTCAGAGCATGGTATGATGCCCAGCCAACTAAGCCACACTGGCTAGGGCAAGTTCTGGACTTTTTATTATATAAGATAGCATATTTCCTCATTGTTTAAGTTACTTTGAGTTGGGTTGTTTGTTTTTTTTACCCTCACCTGAGGACATTTTTGTATTTATCTTCAGATAGAGCAGGAGGGGGAGAAGGAGGAAGAGAGAGAGAGAGAGAAACATCAACGTGAGAGAGACACATCGAGTGGCTGCCACCCACACGACCCCAACTGGGGTTGGAGACAAACTGCAAGGTATGTGCCCTTAGTGGGAACCGAACCCTAAACTCTTTGGTCTGCAGGCCAACGCTTCAACCACTGAGCCAAACCAGCCAGGGGAGGTTTTTGTTTCTTGAAGCTGAAGGCATTCTAACTGATACATTACTCAACCAGCTCTACCGGTACAAGTACAAAATGCCTGAAATGCCCTGCATAGTATACAATATGTTTGTTATTGCTGAGGCAATAAAAGACAATTTTGTGGTGGAGGCTGCTGCTTGCTTATCCAACAACCATTTTCCCTTTCCTCCTTAATTACAGAACTCTGACATATTGCTGTCCAGAACAAAAGACTATTTTCCTACCTTCTTCGTGTGTAGATCTGGGCATGTGACTGAGTTCAGGCCAATGAGATGGAAGCAGTAGTGTTGTGTGAGAGGGCTGATTCACAGGAGCTGACTCAGCTGGAAGGAACCTTTTTTTGTCCTTCTGTCTTTCATCTTGCTTCCTCAACTTGGTTTCTCTGACTAGAGTTCTAGGCACCATCTGATGCCATAGGCTGACTTTGAGGATGGAAGCCAAGAGCTAAATGGTCAAGCAGAAAGAGAAGCCTGGGGTCCTGATTGCTACCACCCCAATCCCATTCTTCATCATCTCATAACAGTTATAACTGTTTCCTAAAATGTCTCCCTGATGCCAGTGTTACTTCCTTTACTCATTTTCTTATGTCTCTACCAAATTACTCCTCCAGCTTCCCCACGCCAACCTTCAATCAAAGCACACCTGAAACCTTTCCTTATTTTTCCACTATAAGCTTTCCCATTACTCTGCTTCAACTTTGAGTCTCTACCATAGAAAATAAAGGTCACTGACTCTCTTGCTGTAGCAAACTAAATAAATAGCCTCGGTTCTCATTTGGTGATCTTTGTTTATTTCCACAGAATGAATAATCTATGGAGGATAAAAGCATGTTTTTTTTCTAGTGCATTTTCTACTTTGATGGGATGTAAGCCTAGAGCTGTAAGCAACATCTTGGCAACTGTGTAGGGAAAGTCTAAGAACAATAGCAGCATGGAGATAAGCAGAGCAGGACGTGGAGGCAGGGAGAACAAGACCTGATGATGCGCTTTGAGATCTTGGCTCCAGCTATGGCTCAAGTCAGCTCTACTTCTGGACTTCACTGTTTCATAAGCCAATTAATTCCTCTCTTACATTTGCTAGTTTGAGTTTCTGTGGCTTGCAACCAAGAGTCATGACCAATAAAATCTCTTTTTGAGTCCTTCTCACCCAGTTAGAATAAGGGCCCAGAGGTATTTGTACAGTCTGGTAGAGAGGGAGGACTAGAAAGCCCTGATGCCTTGGTCACTGATGACAAATTGAACCCTGGCCACTGCACAATCTGCTGTGCTGTCCCAAGATTAGGCCTCAAGTTTACAGCTTTTTAGTTCACATTTGCACGTTCAGCTACTGTTCTCCAAAGTAGGACATATTAGAGTGGCTGGAGCCAGGGAGGTTTCTAGCCTTAGCCACATGCCATAGTAAAAACAGCCCTACTCACAGAACGGTAGGCCCTTGTGTTGATCCCTAGTTTACAACTCTACTGATCACCTCTTGGTAAATTCTCCTGGTTGGGGGTTTGGGAGAAGTACTCAACTTAACCCAGAAAGATTTTCTGAATTTCAAATCTTGGGAGTTTCATTTCCTTCCCTACCAAAGGCCCTGGGCTCCTATACAAATTAGTTCATTCCCTCTCCAGGGCTCGGTGTACAAGGGAATCTCTAGGAGATGTTTAGTTTTTCTCAAGTAACAAAACTTTCCTTTCTCCAGGACAAAAAGTATGCATTTATATTTATATTCTAAAAGAAGCCATTTTTTTCTTTTCTTTTTTAGGAGGGTTTGGTTGTTTTTGCACTGTAAGTCTGTTCTCTTCAGGGGTTGATTTATCTGAGGTCAACAAATGTTCTATCTCTATAAAAGAAGCCATTTCTTTTCTTTTCTTTTTTAAATTATCACCTGAGGACATTTTTTTATTTATCTTCAGATAGAGTGGGAGGGAGAGAGAGTGAGAAAAAGGGAGAGAAACATTAACTGGCTGCCTTCCACACGACCCCGACCAGGGCTGGGGACAAACCGCAACTGAGGGGACAAACCTTGACCAGAATCAAACTCAAGACTCTTTGGCCCACAGGTTGATGCTCTACTGCTGAGCCAAACGGGCCAGGGCAAAGAAATAATTTTTTTTTTTCCTTTAATGATTTTAGAGAGAAAGGAAGGGAGAGGGAAAGAGAGGTAGAAACATCGATAAGAGAAAACATTGATTGGTGTCATCCTGCATGCCCCCCACTGGGGATTTAGCTCACAACCTGGGCATGTGCCCTGACCTGGAATTGAACCGGCGACCTCTTGGTGCATGGGTTGGTGCTCAACCACTGAGCCACACTGGCTGGGCCAAACAAGCCATTTCTTAAATGGCCTTGCAGAATATAGAAAAATCTGACTTTATCTTTATCTTTGTTTATTCAGGGAAGCAGTTCTGTGGTTTAAGAAATGTAAAATGAAAAAAATTAAAAAGCTCTTATTTCCCAGTACCCCACTACCACACACTATGAACAATTCTGCTTGTTTGGTTAGTCTCTTGTTTCGAAATCCCAGCTTCTAAACTTTGCACATGCTATCCTGCAGGCTACCCTTTCCTCTTCCTTTTTTGGAACCCTACAATCCAAGATCACATTAGTGACTATATAATCATTTGCTCTCTCATTCTTGCATACATATTAGTATTTTTTTCTTAACTAGTGTACACATACCTTGAGAACAAAAACTATAGTTTCCTTATATATTCTTTTTTTTTTTTTATCCTCACCCAAGGACATTTCTCCATTTTTTGTTCAGATACAGTGGGAGGGAGAGAGAGGAAGAGAGAGAGAGAGAAACATTGACGTGAAAGGGACACATCGAGTGGCTGCCACCTGCACAACCAACCAGGGCCGGGGACAAACCTCAACTGAGGCACGTGCCCTTAGCAGGAACTGAATCCAGGTCTCTCTGGACCGCAGGTCGACACTCTAACCGCTGAGCCAAACCAGCCAGGGCTCCTTGTATATTCTTTATAACTTAGCATTCAATATACAATTGGTGAGTGAATGACTTAATGGATAATCAAATATCTTTTGTAACATGGTACTTTTAGTACTTGAATTTTTATAGAAGTTGTTGCAACATAAGAGATGAAATCTTTTTGAAGTTTATAAAGATTGTCATTGTAAATATTACCATTTTAATTTTAAAATATTTTTATCATATACACATTTTGAAAACTAGATTTTGTTTTTGTTTAACAATCAGAAAAAATCATTTTCTTTTACACATTTCTAAATTAGTATCAGAAACTTTACATTCAAATTAACTTTAATATTTTAAAAATATTTTGAATTTTCTACCCAAAACTTTAAAAAGTCATGCTACCAGAACCACTAGTCTGGATCCTTGATACACAAAATGTGGTCCATCAATCAGCAGCATCAACATCACTTGGAAACTTGTTAGAAATACCCATTGATTGCCTCCCACAGGACCCTGACTAGGGCCCAGATGGAACCGCAAGGGAGGTACCTGCCCTCCTTAACCTGCAACTCTTTGGTCAGAGGTGGACACTCTAACTGCCAAGCCAAACCGGCCAGGGCAAAAGTACATTCTTTTTTTTTTAATCCTCACCTTAAGATATTTTTCCTTTTTTTTTTTTGTTCAAATAGAGTGGGAGGGAGAGAGAGGGGGAAAGAGAGACATCGATGTGAGAGAGACACATCATGGGACTCATTGGTCCAAGGGCAGTTGCTCTAACCACGGAGCATCAAAAGTACATTCTTTAAAAGTGATTGCAGGCCCTGGCCGGTTTGGCTCAGCAGTTAGAGCGTTGGCCTGCGTTCCGGAGAGACCTGGGTTCGGTACCGCTAAGTGCACGTATCTCGGTTGCAATTTGTCCCCGGCCCTAGTTGGGCCCTGTGGGTGGCAGCCACTAGATGTGTACCTTTCACTTCGATGTTTCTCTCTCTCTCTCTCTCCCTCCCACTCTATGTGAACAAAGAATGAAAAAATGTCCTCGGGTGAGGGTAAAAAAAATAAAATGATTTAAAATTTACCTTAATTTAATATTTATTTTCTGTTGTTACAAAGCTGAATGTACTGTTTGATACTGTAAATTTTTTTTTAAAAAAAGCTTTTTTTGTGTGTCCTGTAAACTTTTTTTTCTTAAACATCTCCCTCTTTCGGAAATGTATTCTCTGTAAGTGTTCGAGGGGAAATTTAGAGTAGAGTGGGACATTTCTGAACCTTTGGACTTCCCTTCCCTATGGAGAGACTCACTTAACAACCTAACACAAAGGGGGCGGGGCAGGGCGGGGCAGGGAGTGGACCCTGCGCTTGCGCGTCTCCTAGTAGCCAACGTCACGGCGCCGGCATCGTCTGCACGCACGTCCGGGTCGCCGCATCCGTTTACTTTACCAGGCTGTTGTCTCTGTTGTTCCTTCTGCAGCCTCCGCGGCCTCCGCCGCCACCTCTGCTGCCTCTGCCGCCTCTGCCGCTTCTGCCCCCTTTGCCCCCCTGCCGCCATGGCTCAGTACAAGGGCGCCGCGAGCGAGGCGGGCCGCGCCATGCACCTGATGAAGAAGCGGGAGAAGCAACGTGAGCAAATGGAGCAGATGAAGCAGCGGATCGCTGAGGAGAACATAATGAAATCCAACATTGACAAGAAGTTTTCTGCACACTACGATGCCGTAGAGGCGGAGCTCAAGTCCAGCACGGTGGGACTTGTGACCCTGAATGACATGAAGGCCAAGCAGGAGGCACTGGTGAAGGAACGGGAGAAGCAACTGGCCAAGAAGGAGCAGTCAAAGGAGTTGCAGCTGAAACTGGAGAGACTTCGAGAGAAGGAGCGCAAGAAGGAGGCCAAGCGGAAGATCTCCTGCCTGTCCTTCACTGTGGGTGAAGAGGAGGAGGTGGGCGAGGAGCAGGAGGAGATGGCCATGTATGAGGAGGAACTGGAAAGGGAAGAGATCACCACGAAGAAGAGGAAATTGGGGAAGAACCCTGATGTGGACACAAGCTTTTTGCCCGACCGCGACCGCGAGGAGGAGGAGAATCGGCTCCGGGAAGAGCTGAGGCAAGAATGGGAAGCCAAGCAGGAGAAGATCAAAAGCGAGGAGATTGAAATCACCTTCAGTTACTGGGATGGCTCCGGGCACCGGCGGACAGTCAAGATGAAAAAAGGCAACACCATGCAGCAGTTCCTGCAGAAAGCGCTCGAGATCTTGCGCAAAGACTTCAGTGAGCTCAGGTCAGCAGGGGTGGAGCAGCTCATGTACATCAAGGAGGACCTAATCATACCCCACCACCACAGCTTCTACGATTTCATTGTCACCAAGGCACGAGGGAAGAGTGGACCACTCTTTAATTTCGATGTCCATGATGATGTGCGGCTGCTCAGTGACGCCACTGTGGAGAAGGACGAGTCACACGCAGGCAAGGTGGTGCTAAGGAGCTGGTACGAGAAGAACAAGCACATCTTCCCCGCCAGCCGCTGGGAACCCTACGACCCCGAGAAGAAGTGGGACAAGTATACGATCCGGTGAATGCAGAGGTGGACCAGGCTTGCTCACCCTGTTCCTTCCAGTCTACCCACTCCTCCAATCTGCAGGATTCCAGACGCCCGGCTTCACCCCTGTTGTGATGTGACTGATCATCCCCTGCCCCTGATGCTGTCCTTTACTAAAGAAATGGACATGTTAGCCTGGCAGGTGTGACTCAGTTGGTTGAGTATCCTCCCCTGTACCAGGTTGGATTCCCCCTGGGAGCACATGCCCAGGTTGTGGGCTTGAACACCAGTAGGGGGTGTGCAGGAGGTAGCCGACCAATGTTTCTCTTTCTCTCTCTCTCTCTCTTCCCCTTTCTGAAATCAATAAAAACATAAAAATTATTTTTTAAAAATGCACGTTAGAGTCAGAGCACTGTTTTATTTTTAAAAACATTTTTTAAAGATAAAATTCACATAACAAAGTTCACCATCTTGGCCATATCCAAGTGTACAATTCAGGGGTATTTAGTATATTTATGATGTTGTACAACCATCATCTCTATGTAGTTCCAGAATATATCCAACATCTCCAAAGGAGACCTACCCCATACCCATTAGCAGTCTCTCCCCCAGGCCCTGGCACCCTCCAGTGTACTTTCTGTCTATATGGATTTGCCTATCCTGGACGTTTCACATAAATGGAATCATACAATTTTTTTTTTTTTTTAAAGCTTCCCTGGCCAGTGTGGCTCGGTGGTTGGAGTGTTGGTCTGTGCATTGAAGGGTTGAGGGTTTGATTCCTAGCCCCAGTTGGGGCATGTGTGGGAGGCAACCAGTTGATGTGTCTCTCTTACATTGATGTTTCTCTCTCTTTTCCTCCCTTCCACTCTCTCTAAGAATCAATGGAAAAAATATCCTTGGGTGAGGATTAACAAAAAAAAAAAGAATGAAGTAAGAGAATCAGGTACCCCTTCCCCAACTATTTTCAATAGGTTTATTCATTCATTTACATATATATTCCTGAATTGGCATACAATGTAAAGTTATAAATCAGGGACTTTTAAGGTAAATACAAGATTTAAATTTCTTGCTGACTTTCCTTTAATAACATGAGGAAAACAAACTCTTATTTCAAGATCTGGAATGTGAGACTGCTTTTCTATTTCTTCATCCCCTAATAAGCACTAAGAAGCAATTTGCATCAATTCACCACCTACTCCTTGGCATCCCCAATTCCTCCAGCCGTTATTGCGAAGGTGGCTTCATTTTCAGGCATCTCCGGGCTAACAGAATGCAAGGGAACAGAAGTTTATAAAAAGCTCTGTTTCTATAAATACATGTCACAGGCATCATAATCCTATCAGTCTATTTCCAGAGACATCTCAGAGTTGGTACAGCTAAATGTGGACTACAGAATTTATCCACAAGTATTATCAACCCTCACAAACACTTATTGAATAACTTCTTTTATTTAAAAAAATTCTTATTAAAGTTTATTTGAGCCAAACTGAGCACATGCTGGGAAGCAAGATCTCAAATGCTTCTGAACAACTATATGTAAGATTCTGAATGTCAAGAAAAATAACTCCAAACTTAGAAATATACAAAAAAGATAGTAGTGTTCTTTCAGTATGTTATCAGGCATTGTATAGCAGACACTTAAGGGCTTACCTAATTCTAAAGGGATGTGCACCTTTTACTAACTAGACCTGTGTGGGGGAAAACTGAAAAGCTGAAATGAACTAAAATATTACTGAGTACTTTCAGTAGGAAAATAAGTTGGCTAGCACATCTTTCTAGGTTGTCCAATTCTATGAGTACTCTATGCTTTTCATTGTCTTTGAGCTATTTTACAACTCTGTAAATTGTAGAAATCTATGAGTAATGCAAATTATTCTTGTCCATAAAAATATAAATTGTATAAGGAGGAATGTAAATGATTACTGTCCTATGGATACTGTGACCTGTTTTTGATCAACTTATAATTCATTTCAGCATTCCTTATCTAACTACATATGTGTGGTAATTTGATTTTTTTTTTATCTACTTATAAAATCTTTTTGATTACTGCATTAGTGAGTTGAATAAACTCTTTGACATTTTACACTGTACATGAGTCATATGTCCTTTTTTTAAAAAATATTTTTATTGATTTTTTTTAGATAGAGAGGAAGGGAGAGGGGGAGAGAGATAGAAACACTGATGTGAGAGAAACATCAATTGGCTGCCTTCTGCACGCCCCATTACTGGGGATTAAGCTCACAATGTGGGCATGTGCCCTGACCGTGAATCAAACCAGCAACCTGTTGGCATATGGGATGATGCTCAATCCACTGAGCCACACTGATTGGGCTGTTCTTTAAAATTTTACCTTTTTATTCTACAATTCTGTAGGGCAGAGTTAATTTGTAGAAAACTAATAGCAATGCAGATTATTCTTGTCTGAGAGCAATGCAGATTATTCAAGTCTATAGCAATGGAAATGAATTTCATTGTGTAGAGAAGCAACTGATTTCCCTCCAGTAGAAAATACAACTTTATTTATTGATTTTTTTTTTTAAATCCTCACTCTAGGATATTTTTCCATTGATTTTTAGATAGAGTGGAAGGGAGGGAGGGAGAGAGAGTGAGAGAGAAACATCGATGTGAGAGAGACACATTGATTAGTTTCCTCCCATATGACCCCGACTGGGGCTAGGGATCGAACTTGCAACCCAGGTATGTGATGTGCCCTTGACTGGAAATTGCACCCACAACCCTTCAAGTCCTCGGGCTGATGCTGTAACCACTGAGCCCAACCGGCCAGGGCTATTGATTTTTTGTTTTAGAGAGAGAGAGTGGGAGAGAGAGAGGGAGAGAGAAAGAGACATCAATTTGTTGTTCCACTTATTTATGCATTTACTGGTTGATTTTTGTACATGCCCTAACTAGAGATGGAACCCTCAACCTTGGCCTGTCTGGACAATGCTCTAACCCACTGAGCTACCCGGCCAGGGCTGAAAAGACAACTTTAAATATTACGGTTTACTGCCTGGAAGTATAGTAACAAATTTTGCATTTGCTAGCAAATTTATTTTAGCATTTCTTTGACTAACTACATAAATCTCTTTCTCAAATTATCCTTTGAATCAGTGGTTTCCTAATTACAGAGTTGAATAAAATCTTTGACATGTTCATTTTATATTTATTTGCAAGAAAGTCTTATTTTTAACTTTTAAAAAATCATACTTTATCATGTACTAGACCCTATAGATTTTATAAAAATGAGATAGAATCCTTACTCTGGAAGTATGGAAGTTGGGAGGAGGTTAGTTGCCATTTTAAATAGGGAGATCAAGATAAGCATTGGTGAAAAGGTAACATTTGATCAAAGATTTGAAGGAGGTGAGGGAGATAACCAGAAGAATGGCAATAAGGGAAAAGATTATTCCAGGCAGGGAGAACAATAAGCACAAAGGCCCCAGGGTAGAAGGGTGCCTGACATGTATAGAACATCAAAGTGCCCACTGAGGCTGGAGCTCTGTGAGCAAGGAGAGAGCAGGAGGAACAGGAATAGGGCCATTCATGCCGTGCTCTGTAAACCACTGTAGAGACTTGGGCTTTTATTATGAGTTAAGATGGGGAGCCATTGGAGGATTTTAAGCAGAGAATAGATATAATCTTAGTTTTACAAAGGACTGCTCTAATTTCTGTGTCTAAAATAGACTGTAGCCCTGGCCGGTTTTGCTCAGCGGTTAGAGCATCGGCCTGCGGTCTGGAGAGACCCGGGTTCGGTTTCCGCTAAGGACACGTACCTCGGTTGCAGTTTGTCCCCGGCCCTGGTTGGGTCGTGTGGGTAGCAACCACTCGATGTGTCCCTTTCATGTCGGTGTTTCTCTCTCTCTCTCCCTCCCACTCTATCTGAACAAAATATCAAAAAATGTCCTCGGGTGAGGATAAAAAAAAAAAAAAAGACTGTAAAGGAACAATGGTTCTAACTGCTTGAGGCCTTGGTTTCCTCATGTGTAAAATGGGGATAATGACCTCTATCTCTTAGAGTTGTTGTTATAAACAATGAAATATATATAAAGCACTTGGTATAAAGTCTAGTACATAGTAGACGCTCAATTAGTGTTAGCTATCATTATTAGCATCATCAGCTTCTCTACCAAAAAGTTCTTAAGGAGAATTCTTTGTGAGAAATCTTTAGGGACTGGAAAAGAAGAGAGTGTGTGCTACACATACTAGAAACTTAGAAAACTAAGTTTTGACATTTTAAAAACTCTGACCTAGTTCTGTTTTTATAAAAATTTGACAATTTGAATGTAAGCTCGAGGACAGGACATAACTAATCTCTATAACTTTAATTATCCTTTATTGAGTCTGCAGAACAGTAGTATTCTATTAGGATTGTAAGAATTTCAGGAGTTGTCTGTTCCTGTAGGTTTGCAGGGCTTGATGAAATATACAAATGATTGAACATGGAGGTCCATTCATTTATTAATTTAACAAATAGTTACTGAGTTCCTACTAGTGCCAAGTAGCTTGCTAGGTGCTGGGGATTATAAAGAACCCACCAGTCCCTGTGAGGGAGATGTACATATAATGAGGTGATTATAATTCAGAGTGAAAAATGTTAGGAAATTTCTAAGCACAGCAATCTGTGCAAGATATAGACCAATAAGTTTTAGTAAAGCGCAAAAATATTCTACCTATTTAATTTAAAAAACATTTGTAGCAAATTTATAGAGACTGCTGACACTCCATAAAATATAGCATTTGAATATTATAGTTTTCCATAGGACAGGTAATGAAAAGCAAAATGGTCTGAATAAAAATTATGTAGATGTGGGACCTGATTATTTAATATATATTTAATGATAATATATAATAAGCACTGTGATTCATAGTAAAAATCAGAGTAAGAGCTCATATGATTTCTTTTCGGCTGGCTTTCCCCTCCCTAGGGTAAAGAGTTATTACACATCTTTACCTTGCTGCTCGGGGTTAGCTAATCAATCAGTCATAAAAATTGCACATCTATGATGTCCCAGGCATAGTGTCCCTATCCTCAAGGTATTTAATGTCTAGCAAGGATGACATATGCTGTACTATAAATCACTACCAATGGAATGTAAGCTCCATGAGGACAGGGCCTTGATTTTTGTTTTGTTCACTCTATGCCTAGAACCAAGACCCGCTGATGTGTAGTAAGTTACTTTTTATTTATTTTTATTTTTTTATCCTCACCCGAGGATATTTTTCCATTTTTTGTACAGATAGAGTGGGAGGGAGAGAGAGGAAGGAGAGAGAGAGAGAAACATCGATGTGAAGGGACACATCGAGTGGCTG